TGTCACAGGTGTTATGTAACCATCGTCGGCGAAACGGTAGAAGATTTCGGCGTTGTTACTGTCGCGAGGATTATCCTCATCCATGGGCACGTCGACGGAGCAGTATGGGAGAGGTCCGGCTTCTTCTGAGGCGTTGTCGACGTTCTGTTCATCCCAGTCTGCTTCGTCCGCTGCTGACGCGAAGGCTCGGTCACCACGAAAACCACTGGTGAGGTCCCGATTCTCGTGCAAGTTGGCGAGGTATGTCTGAAGGGTGAGTCTTTCGTAGAAGATCACGTCACGTGCTGCTACTGTTTCCTTTGTGTGGACGTCGAAGATTTTCCATGCGTTGTAATTTTTCTCGATGCCGAGGTGTAGTCCCCACTGTGCCCGTTGCGAAAATCTTCCCGCTCGTGCTTCTGGGGGTCTGTACTGTACCATGCACCCGAAAACTCGTAACATTTTCGTGCTGCCCTGCTTCCCTGTCCACAGCAGATGCGGTGATGCGTTGTTCGGGAGTGACGACGACAACAACAAGTTGTGCAGCATGACAGCGTGGTCCATTGCTGCTGGCCACTGGTGGTTGGGTAGCCGCATGCCACGTAACAGTTTGCGCATGCTGTTCTGCAGGGTCCTGTTCAGTCGTTCTGCAACACCTTGCTGCTGATGTGCGTAGGGAAGGGAGAGGAGTTGCTTGATCCCCCTTTCCGCCAAGAACTGCTTGAAGCGCTGAGAGGTGTACTCGCCACCTCCGTCTGACTGGAAATTTTTCAGTTGTGTTCCGGACTCTCTCTCTGCTATCGGTAGCCAGGCGGCGAATGCTGCGAGCGCCATGTCGCGGCTGGGTAGGTTGCGATGCCAGACGTATCGAGTAGCAGCGTCGATGAAGGTGATGGTGTAGTTGTAGTTGACTTGTCCTGGTTCGCGATTGTAGAGGATGTCGCTGTAGACTTTTTCGAGTGGTGCGTACGCTGGAGCGCTCGGGTTGTGATGTGAAGCAAACGGTCGATGAGGTAAGTCAGCTTCGGGACATATAAGGCAAGTCCCTCGTGCCTTCTGGAGTTCTCTGCCATCGGGTAGAAGTAGAGAGTCTTTGTCGAGGACTCCTGCTCTTATCGTGTTATTCAAAACTGTGTTGCTTGGATGTCCTGTGCGTGCGTGCCAGATCTCTTCAGAGGCGCGGTGTCCGGGTGAACGCTGATATGCGTCGGAGTTGGAGTAAAAGCTGGCGACGAGGTTGGCGCTTCGGTGGACTTCACGCTGAGTCGGATTCAGCTGTTGCGCGAGTGTTGGTGGTGCTTCGTCGACTGTGACTGGTGTCGTTGTTCCTGCTGCTGCTGATGTTGTTGCTGCTGCCGATGTTGTTGCTGCTGTCGATATTGTTGCTGCTGTCGATGTTGTTGCTGCTGCCGATGTTGTTGTCTCTGCTTCTTGTTGAATTGTTGCTAACGCTCTTGTTCGTTCTGCTTCAGGGATAGTGTGGGAGTACCAGAAACCTCCCGGGCTGAAGTCGGGATCGAGATCCGGAGGGTGTGTCCATTCAGCAAAGTTCACAATGGCGTCGCTGTCTGCAGTGCCGAGGTCGGGAGCGAAGTCGAGGACGAAGACGTTGTTCTTCAGCACTGCTTTCCCGATGTAGAGACCGCCTCTTCCGTGGTAAAGCTTGAACTCCTGGGTCGTGCTGTCGGCTTCCAGATGAATTCCTTTCGCCATCAACTGGCTAACGCTCAGTAAGTTGTAGCCGAGTCCTTCAGCGATGAGTACCTTAGACATGTGCAGTATGACATTTGTTTCTCTTGACTGAAGCTGTACCACTCCTTGTCTTCGTGTGCGCAGGTTTTGGTTGTTGGCAACCGTGATGATCACTTCCCGTTGGAGTCGATGTTCGCGTTGTACGAAACGCCCGGACGAGCACATGTGTTGCCCGCAGCAACTGTCCAAGAACCAGGTGTCTTGGCCGGACGGTTCACTTTGAGCGATAGCGGCGTAAGTCGGATTTGGATGGAGTGATTCGCGACGAGGCGTCCTGTTGTCGAGCTCCTCTTCCGGTGAGTAATGGGGTGGTGACTCTGTTATGCAAGAGTCGTTTATCTTGACCATGCAGTTGACTATATGTCTTGCTCCTTGTGCAGGTTGTCCAGTTGAGGTCGTTGAAGCTTGAATCGTGGTTGTCGAACTTGCTTGTGTCGAAGCAACTTGTGTGCTTGAAGGCCGCAGTTGTCGCTGTGGTGTTGTCTGTCGAGACGGGCAGTGCGAGCGTGGGTGTCCTGATGTCTTGCAGATGTGACAAAATGGAGGTACTGACTTCGGCTGCTGCTGTCGATTGTTGTAGTAGTTGTGTCGTCGCTGAGTATGGAAAGCAAACTCCGGTGCTAATGTCCTTTTCTTGTGTCTTTCTTCTTGCAGGTCCATATCCTGCTGTTCCGCGTGAATTTCTGCGCAAAGTGCCGCTTCGGAGATCCTCCCGTGTGCTCGAAGAATTGCTTTGGTGGCGCGCCACTGAGGACCGAGGCCGCCTATGACGACTGTTACGAAGGCGTCTTCAGAGATTGACCCTCCACATCGAAGAAGCTTGTCGCGCAATTCGCGACATCGGCTGATATACGCCAACCCTTTTTCTCCTGGTTTCATTTCCACTGTTGTCAGCTGCGCCATTAACCTGCTCTGGTTTACACTGTCTGTTGCCTGGTACAGGTTCTTCAGATGGCCGTACGCGAGTTCCGCCGAGTTGCCGAAGTTCCGGTAGGAGCGAATGTTCTGCTGCTGGGTTGGTGTGATGTTTCTCAGTAGAATAGTATACGCCATCATGGATTGATACGTATACTGCTGCTTTTCATACTGTGTCCCGTTTGCTGGATACTGCAGGGATCCGTCGAAGAAGCCAAGTATCTGCGCGCCCTCCATCATCAACTCGAATTCAAAGGACCAGGTAAAGAAGTCCTTTCCGTCGAAAGGTCTTGACGTCTGTAGTTTCAGAACATGCGTGAACTGCGACTGTACTTGTAAGGCATCCATTGGTTTGTCTTGCGCAGGTGGAGGTTGAGGCAGGAAGCTGATCGACCCGCGTTCGTACGGGGCGAAGGTGGGTTGCTGCTGTTGATTCCCTCGCGCATATGACGACCCGTCAAGGCTCATGGGTGTCGCTCCGTTGTTGCTGTTGTGTGTCTGTGCAGGTCCCGACTGCTGGTGTTGCTCGTAGAAGGACATGAAGGAGAAAAATTTCTCCATCATGTTCTGGTCGAAGTCAGAAGGATGGTTCGTGGGGGTCTCGGTTGACGTTCCCCTTGGTCTTGCTGCCGTGCCTTCCTCTGTCTGCAGGCCAGAGGCTGGTGGTGGAGTAGGAGTAGTCCCCGAGGAGCCATTAGGGGAGCTCCTTTCCTTGTTTGTTGCCATGTCTTGTAATGATAAAAAAAAAGTTAGAGTTTTCCCCTGTCTGCTCTCATACCATGTTGGGCTGAGAAAATAGCCCTTAGGATCTTTGCAGAGGAGAACTCTTGGGTAGAAAACTTGTAATAGCGGAAGCGTTTGATGAGGATTGTGAACCGACCTTGCACTGGTGTGTGAGAGCAAAGTAGATTGAATTAAACAAGCAAATACAAGGATTTATATAAGAGTACAGGGAATACGAATAGATAGGTAGATAACTGTATTGCTGTTGCGGTTCGATACAGTGCGACTCGGGCAACTGCTCTGTAACGAGTCAGTTGTGTGTCCTTAACTGTCGCGCTGTGATTGTCGAGTCAAAGGTCAGCGACCTTTGACTTTCTCGTAACCTCCAGGCGGTTACCCTAACCTCCGAGGTTGACTCGATGCTTCGATTGGGACTGCTTCGCTTGGTGCCTTGGGTTTTGATACGACAGAAGCGCACTTAGGACTTATTGTTTCCAACAGGTGCGACCCTGTTTCCTCCCATGCCAGGCATCGGCTGGGCGGCGCCATCACTGGCTGCGCTTGAGCGCTGTCCCACGCTGTCGTGTTGTATTGGTGTGCCGGATGAAATGACGATCGGTTCGTCCGATTGTGCAGATGCATTTGTCAGTGCGTGTGGTGGCGCTGGAGTGTTCACCGTTGATTGCTGACGCGCGGAGTCACGTTCCGCCGTGAGCGTCGCAATTTCGAGCGCCGAGTCTTCAAGTTGGCGCACCAGACGGTCGAGCTGCTCCTGCGTCAATGTTGCGAGCGTGAATTCGGCCATGGCGGGGGTGTCGGGCAAGCTCAGCGAGAGCCTCTGTCGTGGCCGTGCGTGCTTACGAGAGAGCACTACGAGCGGCGGTGCTGTGTCGCTGAGAGACGTCTACCCCCCCAAAAAATTGAGATAGTGGGGAAGCGAAGGTGTGGGTGCGGTTCGAGAAGAGATCGTAGGCTCTGATACCAAGTGTTACGAGTGCAATTGAGTGAGCGAGCGAGAATTGCACTATCGAAGCAAGAATACAAGGAGCGAAGGTGTGATCGAAGAATATATAGCGAAACTATAGTGGTAACGGTAATGGACTGTGGTTGTTGCGCGATGGGCCTGGGATTGAGGTTTGGGAAAGTGTCGAAGCGGAGGCCCGGAGCGCGGGTTACCCGCCGAGCCGTGAGGTCGGGGTGCGACGTGCGAAGGTGGCGGGAGGATTGTGGATGCAAGAGTTGCGAGTGGTAACGGTGCTGACTGTGGTGCTACAGTGGTGTATGCGATGAGTGGGGACGCGAAGGAAAAGGAATTTTCCTTACAAGTGATAAATTGTTCGGCATTGTAAACTAAAAAGTGGTACCACAAAAATATTTCTTATTGGATATGAGCAAACAAGACTAGCTAGTCTCACCAGAGCTCACCAGTGTGAGCTGCATGGATTTCCACTAAGCAACTAGTTGGGTACGAGTAAGGACACAAATGCCTAACTTAGTAAGCAGTGTCCTGCAATGTCCTAGCCTAGAGCAGACAAAGTGGGCGGAATTCACTCCACCCAATCCATATCCTCCCAAATGTACCATACATATGCCCCTTCGACTGTAGTACACCTGCATTCACCATTGTTAGTCTATATTATTTCCACCTCCATCTCTTGAGCATCCTCCTCCATTTCAGGCATAGGCGGTGGTAGGTACCGCGCATTGAAGATCCGCCGACTCGACAGCCCAAACGTTTCTCGGATCGGCATGCTGAGATGCCGTTGGATGCCCGCAGCAACGGTTGTAGGCGAGTCAGCGAAGCCGGTTGTAGAGAGGATTTCGGCAAAGGCGTTGGGGATGGTGGTGAGCATGTACTGTATCACTGACTGGGGCACGGTTGAGTCCTGGTCGAAAAAGAGAAGATGGATCTGCACTGACACCTGTTAGGGGAACAGGCAGAGGGAATGGGAGGTGGACAGGTGCATGAGTATAAGTTCCCAAGGCAGGTACAGCACCGGGCGTTGGGAATGGTGGTGAGCGTGTACTGTATTACTGACTGGGGCACGAAAAAGAGAAGATGAATTTGCACTGACACCTGGAGGGGGGACGGCGAAGGGAATGGGAGGTGGGGAACAAGATGAGCAGAAGGTCCCAAGGCAGGTGGAGCACTGACCAAGGCAGGCTCAGTAAGTAGCTGAAGCTGTTCGGAGCAAAGCAGGAAGAGCGATCTAGAAATGGTTGCTGTACCATTCATCCTTCAATGCAGCATGCACAAGCACTCACCCGTGGGAGGATGTCTCGCACGTCGCATGCAAAGGCGGTCTTGAGGTTGCTGAAGCCGATGTCAGGGCGCAGCAGGAAGAGCGGGCGGGTGAAGTCGCGCACGTGAGGCGCCTTCACATCTTCTGCTGTGAGCACGGGCGCACACCCTCTGCTCCACATCTGCAAGCATCACAGGAATAAAGCACACACGGGCAGATGCGGGCAGGGGATATGTATGGAAGATACGCAAGGGAAATAGGAAGTCTCAAACGTCGCGCACTTAAGGCACCTTCCCGCTGCGAGCACCTGCACACAGCTTCCTACCACAGCTGAGCCCATTCCACGAGGCAGAGCAAGCATGGGTAGATGCAGAAGGGGGATGTGGACGGGAGATGCGGAATGGAAAATGGATGGGAGATAGGATGAGAGGCAGAGATTTCAACACGAACGGCATCTCTGAGACATGCCTTAGGACTGTGTGAGGATCAGCAGGGTTGCAGGAACAGGAGAAGCGAATGGAGGCAGCAGCAGCAAGGCACTGACCTTGAAGTTGCCTTGCATGATGCCAAACACCTGGTCCAGGTCGTTCAGAGCAAAGCCCCCCTCGTAGCCCGGAGCATCCAACAACCTGCAACCAAGTGAATTAGTTCACAGATGATTATGGGAACTGAGTCATTGAGATAACATGCATAAGCTTACTAGCTAGAATATCAACCATTCAAGCGATCTACAACACAGGCTGTAAAACCAGACCAGCAGCAGAGAATATGGTTTGATAGTTACCTGGGCGAGGAGCCCATGATGATGATGCGCTAGAGAAGACACACCTGGTGACATGCGTACCTGGGCGAGTACCTGGGCGAATACCTGGGCGAATACCAGGGCGAATACCTGGGCGCCTGGCAAGGCAGTGGGGGCCGGCCACAAAGAATTGCATACCTGGGCGAGGAGCCCATGATAATGATGCGCTTGAACACTCTCGGGCGTTCGAGGGAGGCGAGCAGCCCCATCATGCCGCTCTGCTGGTGCCCTATGAACGTGCACTGATGCCCCCAGTCCGTGCCCTGGTGAATCCCAGGTGGGCGGTGGGAGTGTGGGGGGAGAGGGGGAGGAAGAGAGAGGTGTGGGGATATGGGGAAGGGGGGAGGAGGGGAGAGGAGATGGTAAGTTGGGGAGTGGGGGAATATGACCATGGTGCTGGCGAATGCAGACAGAAACAGCTGATCTGTGTCTCGCCCCTGTGCCCTTGCCCACACTGGCACCGCACCCCCTAGCCCACCTCTCCCAGCAAACAAGGGATTCTTTGCCAAGCCACGGGTCTCAACCACTAGTCCTCCTACCGACCTCAAGAAGCATGCATCTACTGCTTCTCCCCTTCCCTCGCTGCAGCATACCTCGACGCCCAGCTCCCCCAGCAGCTGCAGCAGGTCCTGTGCGAAGCCATGCAGCGGTGGGTTGCAAAGCAAAAGCCCTGCTTTCCTGCTCTCTAGCCCTTGAGAAGCAAACGTCTCCTGCACCCCCCAGCATAGCATACCTCGACGCCCAGCTCTGCCAGCAGCTGCAGCAGGTCCTCTGCAAAGCCGTGCAGCGTGCTGTAGCGCTGATAGTCAAAGGCATCGTAGTCCGTGCTGGGGGAGGGGGTAGAAATGGGGAGGGGGGAAGGAGAGCATGGACATGAGCCATGCAGCGTGCTGTAGCGCTGGTAGTCAAAGGCATCGTAGTCCGTGCTGGTGGCGGGAGAGAGCGGGGGTGGGGGGAAGGGGGAGGGGAAGGGGGAGGGGGAGGGGGAGGGGGAGGAGGGGGGTGGGGGGAAGGGGGAGGGGTGTAAGTGGGTGGAGAGGAAGAGAGGGCAGAGGCGCATGAGCTATGCAGCGTGCTGGAGGGCATGCAAGTAGGCGTGAAAGGTTGAAGAGCAAAAGCGGCAGGAAAGTGGAGAAGGGGGGGAGGAGTGAGGGAGGAGGGGAGAGGAGGGGGAGGGAGGGGGTTGAGGGAGGGGGGTTGTTGTGAGATGATTTTAGGCTTGCTTGAGTGTTTGAAACAATTTACTGGAACGGGGTGGATGCATGCCGTAGCTGCGTAGCGTGCCATATGTTTTTGCATTCCATGCCATGCTCATCCATTCACTGCTCACTGTGCCATGCTGCACAGCACACCTCATGCCATGTCATGCCGTGCCCGTCACCCCCCCAAGCAGCACGCCATGCCACGTCTCCCAATGCACGCCGCATGCCACACCAGGCCGACCCAGCCAGCCCATGCAATACCATGACCCTCCCCCACCCCACCCAGCCCGCGCAACCCACCCAGCCCCAGGCCTGGCACGCCATGCCATGCCTGCCACGCTACAGCGCGCAGCAGAGCCCGACGTACCCAAGTGCGCCGGTGAGGTCGTAGAGCACGATGCGGTACACACTCGTGTCCAGCTGCCCCACTATGCCCCTTCCACCCCACCCAGCCCCAGCCCCTGCCCCTGCCACGCCATGCCATGCCTTGCCGTGCCTCCCACGCCACAGACCCTGACGTACCCGAGCGCGCCGGTGAGGTCGTAGAGCACAATGCGGTACACACTCGTGTCCAGCTGCCCCACTATGCTGCTCCATATCTGCACACACACACACGACAATGTGAACAGGCGAATAGGGGGGGAGAAGCAAGGGGAAGGGGAAGGGGTTGGGGGGAATGGAGGGGATGCGATTGTGGAGGGGGAGGAGAGTGGGGGGGAGATGCGCCCCTGCATTCTGCAAATCAGCCAAGGACCTTGCATTCGCTTTGTTGTTTCAGCGTGCATGCTTAGGTATAGTCACTTGGCCAAGCTATCAGACACACACTCAACGCAATGGGGGTGGGACCCTTGTTGACTTGTTCATTGTTCACCATGCGCGTGGCTCGTTACCCAACTGTTACAGCCTAACCCTACCTATCGGACAGAGTACATTATTTTTTTTTCTGCCCAAAGCTGTGCGACTCACATTTTTATTTTGCCCGAAACCGTGTGAGAGCACGAGGAGTTCAGAGCCGGTGCCCACGATCTGCACGTTGTGTCGCTCCAGCGCCGTCTTGGACGCTCGCAGCTTCGCCGCCTGCATGGCACTGCGGGGGACAGAAAAGGGGGAAGGGGGGGGGGGGGGAGAGGGGGGTGGGTGGTTGGGAGGGGAAAGGGGGGAGAGAGGAGGGGTGGGGGAGAGGGAGGAGGGGAGAGAGAGAACGAGTGTTGAAACGGCCGTTTCGTCACAAAGACGGAATTGCCGCACGAACTTTGAGCTGCATGCAACGGACCGTGTGGGCCCGATGGGTCAGGCGGTCGGTGCGTAGAGCAAGGGTTCACGAGAAGCAAGCAATATCTAAGGCATCATTCTGACCCTCCGTGCTTTCAACCACGTTGTCCCCAGCCATTTGCACTGCCCAACCGACCAACACAGACAGACACAGGAGCTACCACAGAAGCGGGAACAAAAAAAAAAAAAAAAAAAAAAAAAACTGTTTAGAGTCATTCCCTCCGCTCACCGCATGGCGACAGCGGACGCGCGTCCCGTGCCGCCACCGTGCATGGAGCCGGACGCCATGAACCCCGCGTGCATGGACGAGCTCCCCATGGCCGCCACTCCGCCGTGCATCGACGTCGCCCCCGCCATTCCCCCGGCTCCCACGCCGTGCGTGCTGCTGTTCATCTGCGCGAACATCGGGTTACCACCTCGCTGCCCGAACCCCATTCCCATGCTCCCGTCGCCTGCGACCGCTGCGACGCGCGCATGGTCGCTGGATCGCACTTCTTGAAGCATCTGCTTGAGGCCATTCTTGGGTGAAACGTCATCATCGTCGGCCGTGCTTCTGCCGGTGATCTCGGAAAGATCCAACGGCTGGTTGTTGCGGTCCCAGTCGTTGCTGCCGGGTCGCGATCCGGGCAGGAACTCGGAATTTTCTTTCTTGCCCGGCAAATGCACGCCATCTACTGGCAGCTCCGGCTTCACTTTTGAAGACCCGTGCTCCGAGTTGTCTCGCGATCGCGCTGCTCGAATCGCGCCGTGTTCCGATCCTTCTCGTGACTTTGATCGCTGCGCTGGGGTGTGCGAAACCTCCTTGCCTTCTGCGCCTGGCTGATCTAGTCTTACAGATGGTTTTTCTGGTGCACTGTAGTTGCTGTGCTGGCCTCTGGCTTTTGTTGGAAAGGAGTCATCGGCATGCGATCGGCTTAGGCAACCTCCCATTGGAGTACTAGCAGAATGAGGCTGCGATGAGTTTCGTTCTCACTAGCGGCAATCAGGGCTGTTCTCTGTTTCAGAGAAAATATTGTACGCTGCTTCCTCGCTTGCTCGCTCTGATCTGGTCGTGATTGCTGTGCGATTAGGGTACGCTAGTCGTGGCGACACGAAGTTAGTATCGACAAGGCTGACTCGCTACACCCGTCACATTGTCGCGGTACGTACTGAACGACATAATGGCTCTTTCCAGACAAAGAAGCTTCAATCCAGAAAAAAAACAGCAGCAATCTACAGGTAGTGTTGACGGCTGAATTGGTTAACCTCGAGCTCCGAAGACGAGTAGACACTACTTGGGCAAGACGATGCCTGAACAATGCCAACTTGCTTGAAGGGGAATGGGACTGGATGCATGCCCGTCTGGGGTTTATTTTTTTTGCCCGCGGGCAGCAAGCTCCCTCGGGCGTCGACCTGATTCCGCTGAGCTATTTTCGGCGGAAGGTACTAGTGCTGCACACTCTACGTCTGCTTCTTCTTGAGACTTCTTTTCAGAGCACTGCACTCTGATTTGTGCCTTCGGTGGTGACGAGGAGGAAGGGAAGCATGTGGCTGAAGACGAAACCGCAATCCAGCGAAGAGCTTAAGTGGAGGTGGTCCCCACCCCTCCCTCCCCTCAATCCACTCTGACCCTCCCGCAATTGGTGGGGTAGGCTGCCTGTGGGAGGAAATCGGTAATTCATCCACCGTACATCGTCTTGCCTATCGGACGGCTGGTTTGCAGTACACCTAACCCAACGAGGTTTGTGGCTTGTTTCCGTCTGGATTTCTGGTTTCGGGGGGTCGAGAGAATCTTGATCAAAAGCATATTTGCACAAAATCACATCCCAGGTTCTGAGAGTCGACTCTCGAAACATGCTTACCTGAAGGAACTCCTGGTCTCTCAAGTCTTTTCTATCCCTACTCGCCGCCTGGCCAAGTTACAAGTGGGCTGTTCCAACTTCATATACTCCTTGTTTTGTGCCTGCACTACCAAGAACAATGAAAATGTAATCCACTGATCCACAAAATGACCCGAGATTTACATGAGGGTGTTGAGTTGCATCCGGGACTCTGAAAACTATTTACCACCCCTCTGACAGTGATGTGAGGGATTTGGCTGTGATTCCACGTGGGATCCTTCGCTGGTAAATAGCGAGATACTACAGGTGGAAAAGAAAGCTACGGTACACATGTGCTGCCAATGCACGCCAGTTATTGGGCAGGACTTTGTGGCTGGAATGTGGCGCATGCGTCCAGCCTGCAACTGATTGAAATTCTAATACTGTGTGATTCGTTTGTACATAATGTGTCTCATTACCTGGGTTTTCGATAATGATACGACAATATTCTGACAGTGGAATGAAGACAACAAAAGTCGTACGACTTGTATTGTAATTGATCTTCAAACGAGTGTCTCAATCTCCTGTCTCGCGCCATTTTCGGATAATGCTCGAACAGCCTCTGACCTGACAGCGCCAATCCCCACACCCCTTCACACTAGTGCCACACCTTGCTTTTGTACCACACCCACTCCATCTAGAGCGGCTGTGGGATTGTTCTGCCCCTTCGAAACCCTAGTCCTCTGAAGCAGTCTGGCATAGATCCAAACATTAGGGGTCCTAGTGAAGGATGCTCTAGCGACGTTTGGTAGTCACTGTAGTATTTAGAGGAAGATCGTTACTTTCTGGCCAGCTGGCATCTCATTCTATGGCCACAAACATGGCCGTCGTTGAGGAGCCATTGTATCCTATCGCCATTCTGATAGACGAGCTAAAGAATGACGATATCCAGCTTCGTCTGAACTCAATCAGACGCCTTAGCACCATCGCACGAGCACTTGGCGAGGACCGGACACGGAAGGAGTTAATTCCATTTTTGAACGAGAACAATGACGATGATGATGAAGTGCTACTTGCTATGGCAGAAGAGCTTGGTTCGTTCATTCCGTACGTGGGTGGTGTTGATTACGCTCCCGTGCTCCTTCCTCCGTTAGAGACATTATGCACGGTTGAAGAGACTGTTGTCCGGGATAAAGCCGTTGAGTCGTTGTGCAAGATTGGACAACAGATGAAGCCCCGAGACATTGTCGAGTTCTTCGTTCCACTTGTTCAGGTGCCATGCATTCGCCAATGTATTCTTCTGGAAGGCTTGAATTTTGAATGTGTAAAGGTTGCTAATTTTCCGAAAATCCTCTTGTATTGCCAGAGGCTTGGAGCGGGGGAATGGTTTACAGCTCGCGTGTCTGCTTGCGGGCTGTTCCATATTGCTTATCCCAGCGCGACCGAGCAGCAAAGAGCGGATCTTCGAAGTCTTTACGGACAGCTTAGTCATGACGACATGCCGATGGTCCGTCGCTCGTCTGCACTGAACATGGGCAAGTTTGCCGCCACGGTGGAGCCGCAGTTCCTGAAGCTTGACATTCTCGAATTCTTTAAAGATCTTACAAATGACGGTACGAGTCTTTTAGGACCTGCACGAAATTTGATATCTTCACCAGTCCGTGTAGCTAATGTCGCTTCCATTCGTTTTGCAGACCAAGATTCTGTGAGACTATTGGCTGTCGAAGGATGTGCTGCGGTCGGAAAGCTCCTGGAGAAAAAGGATTGCATCTCCAGCATCCTTCCTGTGATTCTGTCGTTTGCCCAGGTATTTTTTTCCGCATTGTTGCTCTCCACACGTCGCGTTTCCTCCCCCAAAAGTCCACCCTCCTTCAAATGCGGCGTTGTGCTATTAGTACGTTCTCAGTTGATTGCATTGGCGTAACTTCTCGCTGTTATGCCAATTTGTCAGGACAAGTCGTGGCGAGTGCGGTATATGGTGGCGAACCAGCTTCACGAGCTTTGTGAGGCCGTTGGTCCCGAAGTCGCAAGGTGCTTGCCTTTCCTTTGCGTTCAGTCGTCTCTCCCGTTTACATTTTTCTAATATTAGTTTTCGTTCAACCAGGGCGGAGCTTGTCCCCGCGTATGTGAAGCTTCTGAGGGACAATGAGGCAGAGGTCCGCATTGCGGCTGCTGGCAAAGTGACTAAGATCTGTGCCATTGTTAAGAATGGCGAAGCGTTCAATGTCATTCTACCATGTGTGAAGGTGGGCGACTTCTTTTTCTTTGACAGAACATGCATTGTTGGAGCCATCCGTTTACTTACAGCTTGCATGTCAATCGCTTTCTCAGGATCTTTCAACAGATACTTCTCAACATGTACGGTCTGCCTTGGCATCTGTCATCATGGGGATGGCTCCGCTTCTTGGCAAGGTGCACTTCCTCAATACGCTCGTACCATCTCTCTTTTCAGTTTGGTTATGTGCTCATGTAGTCTGCCCACATTCCACAGGAGCTCACTATTGAAACTCTGCTACCAATCTTCCTGGCTCTGCTAAGAGATGAGTTCCCTGATGTCCGGCTCAACATTATCAGCAAGCTGGATCAAGTCAATCAAGTCATTGGAATGGACCTTTTGTCACAGTCGCTTCTTCCAGCTATTGTGGAATTGTCAGAGGACAGGCACTGGCGAGTGCGACTTGCCATTATTGAGTACATTCCTCTCTTGGCTGGCCAACTTGGAATGGAGTTCTTTGATGAGAAGTTAAAGTCTTTGTGCATGCAATGGCTTGAAGATCAGGTAACCAGTCTCCTGTTTCTTGCTTCAGGCGCAAATTAGTTTTCCTGTGGGCAGTTACTCATATCTGTCCTGTTTCTTCATGTATGTTGGCACTGCAGGTGTACTCGATTCGTGAAGCAGCTGCGACAAACCTGAAACGTTTAGCAGAAGAATTCGGTGCAGAATGGGCCCAATCTCAAATCCTGCCAATGGTCAGTATCATGTTAACAAATTCTGTGCAGGTTGTATTACCCTCCACTCACAAGGAATTGCTTGCTGTTCTGCAGATCATGGATAAAGTGAACAACTCTCACTACCTGTATCGAATGACAGTCCTGCTTTCTCTCTCTATGTTGGCCCCAGTGCTTGGTGCTGAGGCAACCTGCAATACAATGCTTCCTGTTATCCTGAATGCTGCCAAGGACCGGTAAGCAGTTGCTCCCTCATTTGTGCCAAGTTTGGTCTGTGGATTTTATGAAAATAACATGCCTTCGTCCTCTGTCCACAGAGTGCCGAACATCCGCTTCAATGTTGCCAAGATGCTTCAGTCCTTCATTCCAATTGTCGAGCCATCTGTAAGTGTCTGCTTGGTTCACCGTTACCTTGTTTTAATTTATATTCTTGTTGGTGGTTGAAGTAGCTTGTTGTTTGTGTATTCCTTGCAGGTCGTTGAGCAAACTATCCGACCTTGTCTACTGGAGCTTAATGAGGATCCTGATCCAGATGTGCGTTACTTTGCAAACCAAGCTCTTCAAGCGTGTGATCAAGTTATGGTTGGATAGAAGATATTTCAGTTCTCAGGCAGGTTCTGTTGCAACCAGAATCGATATGTGGCTTAGTAAATGATAAGAGCACTGTATAAATGTGAGCAAGTGTAAGGAATTTTCTCGGCATTCCTTACGGGGCCGACTACATCGCGTACAGCAACAGCCGATTGTTCGCCCGTTACTGCTAACGGAACTTCGCCGACTTCGCGCGCACTGTTTTGCCAAACCTAGCACCGCTGGCATGGCCGTATCGGCCTTCGCTTCGGGACTAGCCCGAGCCTCGCTCCAGCGTAGCACTAGCAAGCTCGCACGCACCGCGTTACCGTTTTGCATGTTTCGCGTATAAATGTTCGCTCATACCTTCGCTCACATTTTGTACTCGTTTGACACCTTAGTGCAATTCTCGCTACTTCGATTCATTGCACCCGTAACACTTGGTATCAGAGCCCCTTTCTTTCAGACCGCGCATCTCCGCACACCAGGAAATCAACTTTTGATTTTTCACTCGAAGGGACTCACGCACCTTAGCCCCTAGGAGCCGCTGTCCTCGCGTTCTCTCGTAAACGCGTGCAGCCACGACTGCGCCTAGACTAAGACGAGCCGACGCCCTTCGTCATGGCCGAAAATATCGACGTCACCACCCTCACGCAGGAGCGTTTGAACGATTTGCTGCGACAACTGCACGAAAGCTCCGAGGAAATCGCGGCATTGACGGCAGAACGCTCATCGCTGCAAAATGACCTCATGAGGGCATAACAAGCACAATCTCAAGCACCTGGCACTCCGATTCAACCTGCACCCTCAACATCACAACACGGGAGTGTGGGGCAACCCGCGAGCGCGGCCAGTGATGGCGTCGTCCGCCCCGACGGAGACGACGACCACGGCACGACACACCCCAGAGCGACGCATGCGGCCCCAAGTCAGCCTCGCGTCACGATTTCGGCACCAACCCACGATTCGGGACTGCCGTCACCGATGCCGCTGAAGCCGCAGCGCCCGCCATGCTTTGACCCGAGTCAACGGGGTGGTCCTATCGTTCAGGCGTGGTTGTTCACAATGAATGTCTTCTTCGACGCCAACTACGTCTCGGAGGACTCGGCGAAGATTCGATACGCCGTGTCGTTGCTGTGAGGACCCGCCATGGACTGGTGGCGCGTCATCGTCACGAAGCCGACCGACTACGCGACACTACCGACACGGGAAGGACAAACCAGACCCTGGGCGCCGTCGTATTTCGTGGAGGTGCCCCAGTATCGCACGTGGGACGCGTGGTGCGCAGGTCTGCGCGCTCGATTTGAGCCAATCGCGGCCTCGATCTCGGCGCGACAGAAGCTCCGCACTTGGCGCCAACTCGGTTCCGTCCAGGATTACACGAGCGGATTTCTGGCGCTATGCGAGCAGGTGGGCTACATCCATGAGAGCGAACGCATCGACCGCTACATCGGCGGCCTGAAGCAGGACATCGCTCAGGAAATCCAGCTTCGCGGCGTCACAGAGTTTCAGGAAATTCTCGCTATGGCGGAGAAGCTCGACTTCTTTCGCCGACCGAGACCGGGGTCCTACGGAAACAACACCTGGGGACATCGGCCTCGTGGGACGAACGAGAGCGCCACGATACGCGCCGTCGCCGCTGTCAGAACATATAGCTTACTTGTTTGTGTAGGCTATAGTGGGGTATCCCATAGGGGGTACAACACATTAGGGTTTCCTATTTGTATTCACTTCACTTCATAGTCATCCATTCTCGTTCTTTGTTTTCACATGGAATCAGAGCAGGTTCCCTCCTAGGGACTGCTTCTAGGGCCCACCGAACCGCGCCCCGAGGCGCGTTTTTTTTTTAGCGACCCGTCGTGTCGCCCCTAGCGGCCCGTTGCGCCGCCCTTCCCCTAGCGGCTCCGCCGCCCTTCCCTAGCGGCCCCGCCGCCCTTTGATCGCGGCCCCGCCGCCCTCTGCTACGCGGCCCCACCGCCGCCCTTCGATCGCGGCCCCGCCGCCCTCGGCTACGCGGCCCCGCCGCCCTCTGCCACGCGGCCCCGCCGCCCTCTGATACGCGGCCCCGCCGCCCTTCGATTGCGGCCCCGCCGCCCTCTACTACGCGGCCCCGCCGCCCTCTGCTACGCGGCCCCGCCGCCCTCTACTACGCGGCCCCGCCGCCCTCTGCTACGCGGCCCCGCCGCCCTCTGCTACGCGGCCCCGCCGCCCTTCGATCGCGGCCCCGCCGCCCTCTGCTACGCGGCCCCGCCGCCCTCTGCTACGCGGCCCCGCCGCCCTCTGCTACGCGGCCCCGCCGAGCCGCCCAGCATCAGCCGAGCCGCCCAGCAGCAGCCGAGCCGCCGCCGAGCCGCCGCCGCCTGAGCCGCCGCCCGGGCCACCTGAGCCGCCGCCCGAGCCGCCGCTGAGCTGCGGCCGAGCCGCCGCCCGAGCAGCCCGAGCCGCCCGTGCCGCCCGAGCCGCCCGAGCCGCCCGAGCCGCCCGAGCCGCCCGAGCCGCCTGAGGAGCCGTACTGCTGTTCCTGAGCTGTGTTCCTCTGCTGCTGACCTACCCGACTCTCCCAGCCCGGTGAGACTTTCAGCTGCTGCCATGGCCACCCCCAATGTTCTTACTTTTGACGCTGAGGGGAGGGCCATTGACTTTGCCGTCTGGATTGAAGACCTGCAGCTGTACTTACTGTGTGATGCGATAGATGAGGTCTCTCTCTTTGACTTTGTCTCTGGCGCTGTCCCTGCCCCACCTGCTGATGCTGACTCTGCCGTTCGCTCCAAGTGGGCGACCCGCGATGCTGCTGCACGTCTTGCTGTGCGTCGCCACCTCCCTTCCTCTGAGCGTGCCCACTTTAGTCAGTGCAAGACCGCTCAGGCCTTGTACGACGCTGTAGTTGCACGCTACTCCTCCCCTTCCTCCGCTACCCTTAGCCGCCTCATGCTACCGTTTCTCTTCCCTGACCTCGCTTCCTTTCCCACTGTCGCTGACCTCGTTACCCACCTCCGCGCTAGTGACACCCGCTACCGCGCTGCCCTTCCTGCTGAGTTCCGCGCTGCGAACCCTCCTCCCATGTACATCACTCTCTACTTTCTCGTCACCCGTCTTCCTGAGTCCCTTCGTGTTGTTAGGGACCAGTTTCTCTCTGTCTGTCCCACCACTCTCACTGTCGACCTCCTTGAGGAGTCCCTGCTAGCGGCTGAGAAGAGTATTGTCGCTGTAGGGGCCTCTCGGGGTGACCCTCGCACCCCCATCTTTGAGGGGTGTGGTCCTTCCCCCCTGCTGCCCTCTGTCGCCTCTGCCGCTGCGGCCGACCTCACTGGTTTTGAGTCGGTCGGCGCGGCGTCTGCCCCCAGCGGCAGACGCCGCTCTGGCAAGGGCAAGGGGGGCAAGGGAGCGGGTGGAGCTAGAGGGGGCGGTGGAGGAGGCGGTGGGGGTGGCGGGGGGAGTGGGGGTGGCGGTGGGGGTGGTGGCGGGAGTGGAGGTACTGGTGGCGGCGGTGGAGGCGGAGGTGGCGGCGGAGGTGGTAGCGGAGGAGGCGGTGGGAGCGGTGGGAGCGACGGTCCTGGTGGGGGAGGTGGAGGTGGAGACGGGGGTGGCGGTGGAGGCGGGGGTGGCGGTGGAGGCGGGGGTCGGAGTGGCTCGTCCCAGCGGAGCAGCTCCGGGGGTGGTCAGCGCCAGCAGCAGCAGCAGCAGCAGCCGGAGCAGCAGCCACAGCAGCAGCAGCGCTCTCGCACCGTCCCCGCCCCTCAGCAGCTCCGTGAGTGGTACTCGCAGCGTCAGCGTGGTGGTGCGCTTGGTCCTTGCCCCTACGTTCTTCGCACCGGTGACCGTGCAGGGGAGAGGTGTGGAGGCGCGCACACAGCCCGCCGCTGCTTTGGCCGCCTGACTGACGCCTGGCGTCAGCAGTTTCCGGAGGCAGCTGAGATCCCCCGCTGGGGAGAGCTGTCTAGGGCTGGTGTAGCTATTTATGATCTTGATTTTGATGATATTCTCTCTGCTATGTATGCTGCGATTGGTAGTGATGAGGATGACTGTTACCGGTGTTTCCCGCCCGACCCGGGCATTGGTACTGCCGCGTCAGGTACTAGTGAGGTTGCTGCTCTAGGTGCCAGTGCGTTTGTGCTCTCAGGTGCTGGTGAGTCTGCCCTCTCAGGTACTGTGTCGGCTTCGGCCTCTCACACCTTCACCCTTGACTCTGGAGCGTCTCGCTCCTTCTTTCGGGACCGCACCACTCTCACGCCGCTGAGTCGGCCGGTTGCGGTGTCCCTGGCTGACCCCTCTGGGGGGCCTGTCCTGTCTCGCTTCTCCACTGTCCTCCCGTGTCCGGCGGCCCCCTCTGGCACCCTGACTGGTCTTTACCTCCCCTCGTTCTCGACGAACTTGGTGAGTGGTGCTGACCTCCAGGATGCGGGTGTCCACCAGTTCACCCCTGCTCGTCAGCGGGTGACCCACTGCACGGAGGCGGATACAGGTCGCCACCTGGCTACGTTTACACGTCGGCCAGGGTCGAGCCTGTACACTCTGACCACTGCTTCTCCTCCAGGTGCTGAGTCTGGTAGGGTCACTTCGTCTGGTCAGGTGTTTGCTGCAGCGTCCAGGTCTGGTCCTGAGTCTGCCCCCTGCTCGTGCCGTCGTCTGTCTCACGAGACCCTCCTCTGGCACCACCGCCTTGGCCACCCCTCTCTGCTTCGGCTCAGAGGCATGGCCTCGCGAGTCCTTGTGTCTGGTCTTCCCCGGTCTCTCCCTCCCCTCCCTCCGGGCCCTGGCCCCACCTGTGTCCCCTGTGTCGAGGGGCGCCAGCGTGCTGCCCCTCACTCCTCCCA